GCCACAGCGACTGACGGAAGTGACACAGAAAAACGTCGTGAAAAAAAAAATTTTTTCTTCGTTAATATATAGTATTCGACGACCAACAGTTTTGGCTGCCTTGACCTTGTTTCATTCAATGGATTAATTAAATCTTGAAGTTCAAGACACAAGTACATTATGCAGACACTAACCTTAATACCTACAAATAGTTGTGATCATCATTTAAGATTAGAAACCAGAGATACCAATTTAATCGACGGAAAGACAGGTATAAATATTTCCCTTGGCACATGAAAATAGTTTGATAACACGTACGTCTAATTTCTTCTTTATCCTTCAAATATTCCTATTTTTTTCATTCCTACATAAAATGGTTTTGGTATATGAACAATAAGTAACTGAATGTTTTAGCTCTATCAAATAAAAAAAAAACTTTAGATTTATTTACTTAATTTGTTTGTTTTTGTAAACATAGTTGAATGTTATCGTGACGACACAGTTTATATACTAGCAGAAAAAATTTCTACAGCCAGATCGTTGGCTGTAATTGTTAATTTGTTAAGTTTGCTGTTTGCACTTTTTGTGTTCGTTAATTATAAAAAATTATTTTTATAACACATAAAAGAGAAACAGTGAAGGTTACTTGAAAATAAAAAGCAACAAGAATTAAAATTTTACCTGCCTTTTGATCCTAATAATACCACTGTTCAATCATACACATAATTAGCTTGGTGAATTTGTTAAACAGCCAACATGGTAACCCTCTTCGAATGACATGGTGATGAACAAAGTCTCTTGAAGTACTAAATTTTTTGTTTATACATAGTTTACCTAGAGCTGTTGACGATTGAAAATGCTCTCCTCAAGGACACCTTAATCGATGTTACGCGTAAACCTTTTTGCCTTGAACTATTGCTGTCTTCAAGTGCACAAAACTTAGTTTTATTATTCATATTAATGTCCACGCATCAGTTGCATCAACGCTGTTAACTACCGGTACACATAAAATAAGGGTGTACCCACTAAAATTAAATCAGTTCCATACAAAATATACATTGATTTCATGATTTTTAAAGGTTTTCCGTTTTTATTTTAGGATCACAATCATGATTATTACGTTATTTTCGTTTTAATTGTTTAATGATTGTGATTTTTAAAAATACTAATTTTGGTAATATTGTTATAGAAAATAGTGATTAATTTTAAGTATAACTATTACAAATGATAATAATAAGAATAATGTATATTTAACGAAAAATTCAGATTTTTAATACAAATGTTCATATTTTTATTTGTACCCTCTTGTTAATCTGTTAATTCATGATATTTCATTGTAAAAAATATCAATGTTTCATTAAACAAAAATTAGTTTTTCACGAACTCTAAACTCAAGCATCATTTGTATTTTTTAATTTTTATAATTTAAAATCATACTTTTTGAAAACTCATATTTAACTAACTCGACAATTATCTATTTACAGATTGGTTCTATTTACATCGTATTTACTAATCAAGTACTTTTGCTACGTAATTACTATAAAATCCAAGTATTGTGAAAAACATACATATGATTATAATATAGTGCACACAAAAATGATGAAGAAAAGGTATTTTAATTTTGACTTATGGATCTTAGTACGAGGCAGCTGTGGTTGTTGCGGCAGCTGAGGTTGCTGGGGTGGCTGTGGTTGTTGAGGCAGCTGTGGTTGTTGCGGCAGCTGAGGTTGCTGGGGTGGTTGTGGTTGTTGAGGCAGCTGTGGTTGTTGCGGCAGCTGAGGTTTCTGGGGTGGCTGTAGTTGTTGAGGCAGCTGTGGTTGTTTCGGCAGCTGAGGTTGCTGGGGTGGCTGTGGTTGTTGAGGCAGCTGTGGTTGTTGCGGCAGCTGAGGTTTCTGGGGTGGCTGTAGTCGCTGGGGCGACAGTGGTCGTTGAGGTGGCTGTGGTCGCTGTGGTCCTTCTTTGAACTGTGGAGTAGCTATAGCGGTGGCCAAAATGGCAATGAAAGCGATGAACTAAAATTGAATTTTACTGTTATTAAATTTAATAAAACCCGTCGACCATTTGTTCAGGAGGCTGTCTTGTAACCTACAGGTGACATAAATATATAGTAAATAATTAAAGTGAAAATTACATAGAATAAAATATAGTATCACTGTGTTCCATGAGTGATTGGCCTTGAATACAGTAGTACAGAAGGTGCATCGTCTGACCCATTACACCCATTCCTAATTTGATCACATCGAAAATATTTGTTTTCAACAGTGCCTAAAAATACGGANAAAAAAACTCTCAACTTTAAGAAATTACGTACCAATTTCATGTTCGATTAAAAAGAAAAACGGGAAAGTTAGAGCTCTAAGGATTAGACAAGACTGAGTGAAAATTCTCGGGGCTTTGATCATTTTATACTCAAAATTTGACTGGTCATTCAACCAAGAATTTTTCCGTAATCCTGTAAGGAACAGGTAGTAATTGTTGTAACTCTTCGGTGGAGCTGACACCCTCTTTCTTTTTTCTGGCTACACCCAAATAATAATTCACCGTAATTTACTCAAACAGATATAATTACAAATGACTTCAAAGAAAAGATAGTACTGCTAGTTTTTGGATGAAAAAAAAAGGATAGTCCCTAACTCGATTCTTTCACATCAGCGATACGTTAGAAATTTGAATTACAAATGATGTCGCGTACATTTCTCATGATAAATCCATCTTGTATAAAATTGTAATTATGAAACTATTGGCTTTATTCAGAACAATTTTTTTTAATAAAGTATTTAAAAT